AAACGCACTGTTAAGACAGCAGGTAAAAGTTGGTCTGTGTTCTGTCGGAGCTGCCTGCGACGCGCTGATGAGATCCAAAGAGATCGAAATCGCGATCCGCGTCTGGCAGTTTCGACAGAATACAGACCACTTTCTATTATTTTATAAGTACTATTGCAATCAAGGCCGAATTGAGTAGAATAACAGAAAACAAAACTGCCATATATAGTTGATCCCGCACTAAAAATTGGAACTTTGAAAAAGATCTTTCTCGATTTATGCTCTCCTAATACAAATCTTCAGATTTATCAAAATTTTCAGTTTTGCGTCATATACGAGGGCTGGTCAAAAAGTTATGGAAAAATCAAATTTCAAAAAACAACTTGAATTTTCCATTACTTTTCGACTAACCCTCGTATTTTGTTCAAAACTAAAAATTTTCGTAAATTTCAACATTTGTATTAGGAGAGCATAAGTTGCATCGGGTCTTTTTCAAAAAACAACTTGAATTTTCCATTACTTTTCGACTAACCTTCGTATTTGGCTCAAAACTGAAAATNAAACAGATACGGTGGCAAACAGATTAATAAAGAGCAATTAAAATTAATTATAACAAGTATCCTCACCTTAATTAATAATAGAACGTAATATTCCAATGTTTACAGGTGTGAAAAGTAAACCAACTCCAGGAGGAATACTGTAGCAGACAATTTTTTCAGTGGAATTCAAATAAATATCCAGTTGCACTCGCTCATGGGTTGAAAATTAACTGCATGATGTTATAAGGCGAAGACGTAACAGCAAATCAAGAATATTATCCAGGAAAAACCACACCCATGTAGACATGGGCTGTTTCAGTATAACCAAACTGAACATTAATTCTCTCTCATTTGTTATATAACCTGCAGAAATAGACAAAAAAACATATTAATTACACTTATAATTAAGAAACACAAATAAAAACGCATCAAAAAGCAAGTAAAATAGCTGAATTATAAAACAAACAATCAACAATTTTACGCCATTTTACATCACAACCATAGATCACGACGTAGATTAACGTCAAATAACACGACGTCAAATTACGACATAGACAACAGAAAAAGGTTAAAAAGAAAATCCATAGATAGATAAACTCCATAGATACATCAATGATAAATATTCTGTGGAAAATAAAAAATGTCAAGTGATATAGGTACACAATAACCTCAATTTATACTGTTGATAATTGTTAACAGAAATTCCATAACAGATTAATAAAGAGCAATTAAAATTAATTATAACGTCGTACCCTTTTGTCTTTTAATATCAAACAAATACACTATGTATGCTCACCTTAATTAACTACAAGAGCATCCAGGATGAAAATTTAACAGCTTCGTTCCCAACGGAAAAAAGGCACTTTTATGCTTTCTTTAGAACCATGGGCACAACTACATTCCGGGGCAAATGAGGACTAATACAACCAATGCTCCATAATTTCATAACTTAATGGTATCCGGATTTCTTCTAATGTTCCTGTAAAATGAAATCTTATGAAAAAGTGTTCAGATATAATTAATTATGAAGTATATAATGTGCATGATCATTATTAAAGTAATGCTAAATCTTTTCCTTTGTTAGTATCAAATAAATACACTACATATAGAAAATATAGTATGCATGCTCACCTTAATTAACTACAAGAGCCTCCAAGATGAAAGGTTAACAGCTAAAACACCATAGGAGACGACTTATCTTTTCAGTAAGCAAAGGATATAAGTTCAAATCTCTCTCAATTGTTGACTAATCTGTGTAAACGGGCAAAAACTAATTAATTTAATAGATATCTGTTACGCAGAAAATTTAAATATTTAATCTTTTTCACTTTCCTTCCTTTCTCTCAAATGAAAGTCAAAATATATGCGGAAAATGGATAAAAACAAAAGAAAACACTCGTATTAAATAAATAAAATATGAACGAACGAATAAAATAACAAAACATTAAAAATGGCGACGTAGCCACCTGATGTCTCTTTCATGATATAATCTAAACTCTAAACTACTATAAAAACTTATATAACTTCACGATAATGTTGACCTGTGGGCTTATCGCAATTCTGTGATATAATAAACGAATATACGATAAACAACGTTAAAACAGGATAAATAAATTAATTTACACTAAAATTTATCGGATCTGTGAATTTTAGTTATTAAATAGTTGGAGCATTTCTAAATGAATAAGTAGTAGTCACCGCCTAAAATTTTCAGTTAGTTTGTACTTTTATGTACTGTTACCTTTTGGTTTTCTTTAAATATCTAAATACCTATTCACCTTATACAGGAACGTAAGAAGTTTTAGTTATAAAACCGTTGTGAAAAAATTGATAAGCACCTTTCATTGGTATAGGAGTGGGAAAAGTGCGAGTCGNAATGAGGGAGTTTGTAGTGGTTGGAAAATCTAAAATGAATTTTCACATTAATATTGCATATTAACCACTACTAGTAGTTAAAAAAAATGTCATAGTACTTTTTGAAGACTTCCGATGCCTACGAAAGAAGTAACTGTTAACAAATTACTCAATCTTTGGACAGAAAATTAAAAATTCATTGCTTTGTTCTTATCGTTGTTACTATATGCTTACTAAAAAAAGGTTGGTAGGTACATTACTTTTATTCTTAATCGATCGCTTCTTTGATTAAGAAGCATTTATCTCCCTGACTATTACTTCTTCATTACTTTTTCATAATCCCACCACAATTTTGCTAGATGAAACTAACAGTTTTTTGTCTGCATATTTAACTATAAACATCTTTATCTATCAGAAATCCTATGAAAAATTGTAATGTACAGGACACAAGGTAAAAATGTCCACATTCGAGAAATATACAAAACAAAGTGATAAAAATTCATTTACATTAACAGTGTTGAGCGTTGTAAAATTATAATTATTTTCATAGATTGCTTATGTACCAAATAAATTTAGATTATTTTATTAAAATCCAAAAATTTAGTTGCTTACAAATTTCGACTCGCACTGTAACATTTGTACCTTTATCTATCTCGACAACAGCGCACTCATGTAATTTCGCGGGAAGGTATCATAATTTGAATTTAAAATCCAAATTGTTTTAAATAACCCTGGCGACTGTTGGTCCTTGATATAGGCAACCCATTTCACTGTCAAGTGTTCTAGCCATCGGGCGGCAGTTGCAATTCTTAATTATTATTTTTATGTTAATAATTAAGAAATAAAAACATTTTTAAATTTGTATTTCGAAGTGGAATCGATGTTCTGTAAGAATTTTTGTGACAAAATCAGTAAAACGTAGTGGAGCTATAACGCCAACTAGGCCTTTTTAGATAAACTTAACTTTGCAATTAGCTACAACCCCAACTAAANAAATCACGGTTTAAAATATTAATAATCAAGAAATAAAAACGCTTTTAAACTGGGAGTTGGAAATCGATGTTCATTGTGAATTTTTGTAGCCAAATGAGCATAACGTAATAGAGCTACAAATGCCAAGAAGACCTTTTGAAGCAGATTACAAATGTTAAAAAAAAAATGAAATTTCTGGTACCTCATTTATCATTTCTAATTGATACTGTTACTTACCTGTTCAATGTCATAAATCCTTCCTTCTGCTACCGCACACTGCCTTCGTTCCCAACGGAAAAAAAGGCACCTTCACGCCTTCCTCAAGACTTCAGGTATTACTACTTTCCAGAGTCAAAGAGCACTGATACAACCAATGTTTCATAACATATTGTGTATGGAATTTTTATGTTCCTGTAAAATAAAATATTATGAAAGTTTTCAGATATTAACTTTGCCTCCCTACTAGAAAAGGTACATAATATAATATTAAAGCAATGCCATACCCTTTTCTCTATCAACATCAAACAAATATGTTGTATACGACTTAAAATTATTTAGAGGTACTGCTGTTTTGGAAAAGAAAAAAAAACATAATAACAGTANAGGCAACCCATTTCACTGTCAAGTGTTCTAGCCATCGGGCGGCAGTTGCAATTCTTAATTATTATTTTTATGTTAATAATTAAGAAATAAAAACATTTTTAAATTTGTATTTCGAAGTGGAATCGATGTTCTGTAAGAATTTTTGTGACAAAATCAGTAAAACGTAGTGGAGCTATAACGCCAACTAGGCCTTTTTAGATAAACTTAACTTTGCAATTAGCTACAACCCCAACTAAATAATTGATAATCTGTTTTCAAAAATCAATAATTCAGTAACCCTGATTAAAACACTAAATTCCAAAATCCCTCAAAACGTGTTCATAAAATACTTACGTAGCCAAAATAAAACCACTGAATTAACGAATAAAAAACAAACATTAAAATAAAACAGCTTTGGTTTTGAACCATTTGTTTATAACAATAACAAATTCCCTTAAATAAAAAAAAGCATTTACGAAAAAACTGATTTTTTAACGAAACTACTCTATTACACCTTTTTGTATCTATTACGAAAACTAATAATTTGTAATTTGAACACAATAATATTCCAACATAACTATCCGAAGCTTCAGTAACAAAATTTTGTGATTTGTTTATGACAAATTGCATAACAGAATTCCTTCAAAAGTAAATAAAGACACCTCCTTTTTAATTTTTGTATGGGATTTTTAGAAACAAAAACATGAAAATTAAAATTTATTACCAATTGTTTACCCAACCAAAACATGAAAAATATTCTCAATGTCATCCCTTACTTTCTGATTCAATTAACATCTAACATAACCAAAAGTAACTGAAGTGTAACCAATTCGATGTTACAGACATTACATTAGCGACAGGCATCAATTTGAGATCATTTTTCAGTTTCCAAGGGTGGAAATCTTATGGCTCCTCTTTATATCTAATTGGAGACAAAAAATAACTTTTTTTTTTTTTCTTTCCAACTGCCTACAAATGTCAAAGACATCACTTTCTACTTCATGTATAAAACTGTGCAAGTTTAGTTTTTGGGCATTTTTTTGTATGTTTTGTCATACTTTAGAAGTTGTTTAAATTAAAAACAAAACTATTTAGAAATGTGTAAGTAGAACCCAGGGTCTACTTACACATTTTAAACTTTAAACATGAATGATGAAAGTAGGTTACAAATGTTGAAGGAGTTGAGATTTATGGGGTAGTTTAATAAAAATTTCACAACTATGCTTCATTAATGTTGTTACTTACCAACTCATTGTGACAAATCCTTCTTTTAGCAACAACACGCTGCCTGTAACAAATTGACAACCTTATAGTTTAAAAAACTAAACATATTTCAAATTGACTTCTAATTAATCTATACTTTTGGACATGCACAAAAAAATTAAAAATTGTGAATTATCTTCATAATTGACATTATGAACCCAGCCCCTGTTTTAATAAACATTTAAATCGAGTAAGAAAGGTTTTAAAATGAAATTGGTAATTAACAAAAGCAGGTTAAAATTTAAGATGTTGCTTGTCTGTATTTAAACTACATGCTAATAGGTAACCTGATATATTTTTTATTATTATAAAGACAAACATACCATTATTCGTAATTAAAGCTGTTTTCAATACAAAATGATAGATAGATGTAGGTGTTAACTGGATTTATCTGATACCGAGTCCTTCCTTGGTTTTTAGGATTTTGTTCATCTCCTGAATTAGCTTCAACTGTAACTCAATTAAACTGAAACCTTTTAATTTTTTNTCCTTGCAGTCCTATGATAAACTGCAACCCTCGTTAATGACCTATGTGGACCAGTTCTACCTAACATCATCAAGAGGCATTATGAAAAAAATCATATTTTGACCTCTTGATTGTGGAGAGCACTCATGACAATTGACAATTCATTGTCACAAATGAACAAGTAATCTTTTTGCGGTGGAAAAGAAAAGGCACTTTTACAATTCTTTGAGGTACTGCTACTTTCTGGAGAGAACTACAATCATTGCTTCATAACGAACGGCATCTACAGTTTATGTAAAATCCTGCGAAAGAATTGGCTAAATTAAAGACTGCAACTGTAAGCCATATTTTAGAAATATCATGTATAGAAATATGGTTAATAATTTTGGTTCTTTAGTATTCAATTCTATTTAATATTAATATTATGTATTACAGTAATTTCTAACTGGTCAGCGATTATAAAGAAAATTAAACAATTTTCAAATGTTAATTGTTTAGTCTACGTAGCAAAGAAAGTGATGTTCTGCAACACAGTGGATTTTATTACTCAAGAACTCAAATGAAAATTTCATAGATTTCATAAGACATTAGTAACCAATATCTGAAGTGAAAAAGTGATCCATAACGCAAGACAACCATAGCTGTTATAAGGTCCCCATAGAATTAAGTTTTTATGAATGAAATATAAAACATACATAACAGAAAGTTAAGCACTTATATATTAATTATATTGTGGTATATATTTCATTAGTTATTAAAAAAGAAGGAAAATTATTTCGGGTGCAAGCGGAAATTCAAAGTTGATTTATTTAAAAATTACTGAAGATATCATAATTTAATTGATGCTAATCGATTGCGCGTCATTTGTGCTTGAAGACCGAGTTATTATGGTAAGCGAAATTTATTTTTATATTATTTATTAGTAATAATTATGTATAATACTTAATTTTTCCTTGATATTACTAATCCGGCTGCGCATTTGGTGAATCATAGATAATAATATGATCAAAAAACACCATAGAAAAAGTAAGTATTATTTGTAATTGTTATTTTTAAATGGGATGAAAATAAACTTCGCTAACCGTAATAGCTCAATTGTGAAGTACAAATGATGCGCAATCGATTGGAGTGAATTAAATTATGTTGTCATCAGAGGTTTTTAAATAAATGGACATTGAAGCTTCACCTGCACCCGAACCAAAGTAAAGTTTGAATTAATGGATTATTTATGTCAGTTCACACAACCATAGATTAGAGATATATCTTTTATCTATGATGGTAGCTTTCCAGCGAAGAAATCACAAAGTGACACTAAGCTACTTCATCTAATCTAAATTTACACAATCCAACTTTACCTTTGATCACTTATTTTTCGAGAAGAAATAAATTAAATTTTTCATTTTTACTTGAAAAATAAGCATTCACAAACATTTTCCTATGCACAATTAATCTCTAAAGAATGAGTGGTATAAGCAATTTCGTTGTTTTAGTATCTTCTCTATTTTAACAAATAATAACTTTTATAAGAATAAGAAAATTGGGAATTTATTTTAATACAATTTTTTCTATTTAATTAAACAGCAAAAAATACAAACTTAGGGGGGGGGCTCTTTAATTTTTAGACCTGGGTATCGTTTCATTTAACGCCGCGTTCGTACTGATCAAAATCACTAATCGCAAATACTAAATATTTATATGTTTATAGTAAAGTACTCCCCATACACCCCTAAAATACCCTCAAATGTAAAAATATAACTGTATTTATATACTGCGGGTGTGTATAAGCTGAAAAGATCGAATTCGGCTGCTCATTTACGAGCATGAACTATTTGAACCGTACTTTCAAATTGGGTTATTATCTAAATCGACTGGAATTGACTGGGTGCCCAACCCAATCGAGTGGGTCCCCCCCTTGTTGCACCCCTGATTATCATCATATTCATCACACGCACTTCCACTTCTTCCTATCCTGACCTAATCTTTGTATTTCCCTAAAACTAGAACATTCCACATAATTAACTATTNGGTTAAAATTTAAGATGTTGCTTGTCTGTATTTAAACTACATGCTAATAGGTAACCTGATATATTTTTTATTATTATAAAGACAAACATACCATTATTCGTAATTAAAGCTGTTTTCAATACAAAATGATAGATAGATGTAGGTGTTAACTGGATTTATCTGATACCGAGTCCTTCCTTGGTTTTTAGGATTTTGTTCATCTCCTGAATTAGCTTCAACTGTAACTCAATTAAACTGAAACCTTTTAATTTTTTTAAGTTGGTAATTACAAATTCTAAAATTACTGATGCATATCAGTTGTTGGATAAGAGGATAATTCATAAGGAAAACATATACAAAATACATTAATAAAATACACTTACCTCTAAAGAGATACTATATTACAGTATATTACTAGTTAATTTAAATATAAATATTTCTTATTCATTTTAATTCCAAGCGTTAACCATGTGTTAAATTGGTTTAAGAAGTCATAACAAATATACTATATTCATTGTAATAGATATACAAAGGGTAATGGATAGGTTAATGTTTCTTCCATAGATTAAGATTAAGATGGATTAAGACAAGAAGATCTGTAAATGTAATGCAAGTCAAGTCAATTTTGACCTCATCTTCTCTGGACCTCATAGATAAGTTTGACTTACTAACCATAGATATGTATTAACCATAGACTATCCATAGAAAATATCATAGGTTGTGTTTCGTACTCATAAATGAATACCTCAAATAGTGTCTAAATAACGGTCAAATATATGACCTCCTTTTATAAATATCCAATTTGTAATCTTAAAAAAAAAACTAAAACTACTGTAACTAATCCGATGATCACATATGAAAACTAGCAAACCTGCAATATAATTGATTTTTCTGTTAATCAGAAATCTAATTTCGAATCGCAGAAATATTTTTTGCGGGAATGGCGCTACTGGATCACGTACGAAGTGTTTTAATTTCAATTGAGAACGTACAAATTGTGCTGCCGCAACATAATAATGGTGTTTAGTATTTATCTAATGCACATAATAATTAATATAATCTAGAAGTTTTGTCACAATATAGCACCTACAAGAGATAGTATCAGAATGTTGTTTATTGTTATGATGCTGCTAGGAATGCAAGCAATATGTAGTATATCAAGATCTGATAGATCAGATCCTAGAAACAGCGGAGATTTAGCCCTTTGGATAGACGAAAAGCAAGTAAAAATGTTTAGTGGTAATTATTATATAAACATTTAAAGACTGTTATGAATGTGAATTAGCTCTTACCTTTTTCGTTGACAGGAATGTCAATGGAAATATATGCCATTGTAAATGGTAATGTCTTGCCGTATATATTGGATCCTAATTTTGAAAAATATTTGCCCATAATACCATCAGAAGTAGGGTATGTTAATTTTACATGGAAGTCGGGAGGGAAAAAGTATTCCTACCATTTTGATCGTCTGCAATCATTTGATGAGAGTATTTTAGAACCACCAGTTTTATCCATTAAAACCAGAGGCAGGGTACCTAAGAGACCTAAAGAGTTCAGTATTTTTCTTCCTTGTTTAGGAAATAATTCTGGTATTGCATCTTTTACAATCGGATTGGTTATAGAAAAAGGAAAAGGTCGGCCTGTTAATGGGACCCCTTTAAGACTAAATTTAAGGAAGGAATGTGCCCAAAGAAGTAAGATTATCTCTAAACTAAATTAAGTTTATTATAAATTGTTTGATTGTTAAATTATTTAATAGTTTAATTTTTAGATCCTGATCCAGAATGTGATAAAAAGTGTGCAAATAATGGCTGGTGTAATAGAGAAAAAATCTGTCAATGCCCTGAAGGTTATATGGGACAGTATTGTAGAACAGCTTTATGTTACCCTCAGTGTATGAACGGTGGTAATTGTACATCACCAGGGGTATGCAGTTGTTCTGAAGGGTTTCAGGGTAGACATTGTGAAGGAGGTAAGATATACTTTCCATTTTTACAAAAATTGTTCATGATATAATGTTTTATAGGTATATGTCGAGAAAAATGTTTGAATGGTGGTAAGTGTGTCCAAAAGGATGTTTGTGAATGTTCTAAAGGATATTATGGACTTCATTGTGAATACTGTAAGTGATCTTTAAAAAATTAATAGAACCAATAAAATTTACTTACTTCCAGCTAAATGTATCATTCCATGTCTAAATGGAGGAAGGTGCAAAGGAGTTAATAAGTGTCGCTGTCCAAATGGTTTCAGGGGAGATCATTGTGAGATTGGAAGGGCCAAACTAAACAGGAGCATATGTAAATTAGGTTGTAAACACGGTACTTGCATTGATAACACTTGCGTTTGTGAGTCTGGTTGGTACGGACGTCTATGCCAACATAGTACACTTTAAAATTATGAATAATATGCCATCATGTTGCTTGTTTAAAAGATACATAAGTTGTATGTATATACCAATATACCTGTGAAAAACATAACTCTGTAGGTTTATTAAGAATATTTTGTATCCACATAAAATAAATAACTATTTTATTTAATCATTGTATTTAGTTTGGAAAAACCTTACATTATAAAAATGGATTGGTTAAAAGAAAAGTGTAGCATATGCAAGTTTTAGAGAATTTTATTAGGAAATAACAGATAATATAAACTCTCACGCTAGAGATAACGCATAAAAAAGTAAGATTCTCTTTTTTTGACACAAGCGTTTTTTTGTGGTCAATAAAGTAGAGAGCAATTTTTTATTGCAATGAAAATGAAACGAACGAAATTAACAGAAATTCTCTAAATAATCTAAGAAAAGAACCTTTCTTCAAACAAACAACCAATGACTCCTTTAATCTGATACAATAAATATGTAACGTAGCACAAAAGTGTGCAATAATTATTTATGTAATGTAAAACATAATACTCTTTTACAAACTATAAAGGAAGTTTATACAGCACCATTATGGTAAAATATTGCAATAAAAAAATGAACGATTGGACATAAAATGCAAAAATATGTATGGTAAATATTAATGCTTTTTGGTTTAAAAGGCATAAATCAGTTTTTTGGTGTTCTAGAAAAACTTTCAATGTAGATCTTTACGCCAATCATTCACGTTCCCATCAAAAGATGTAAAAAAAACTTAACAGATAAACCCCAGCAGCTCTAGTAGCTACGTCTTACAGAAATATCACATTGCAATGTTCGAGATCATTATTTAAAAATGTTAAAATGAAACGAGTATGACATCAAACTTATCTGAAATGAAGTTATATATGTTTCAATGTGATACCTTAAACTTATAGGTAAATGTTAATGTGATACTATTCCATGCAGAAACGATGTCATAAGTTTAAAGTCACACTCATCGTAATACGATTTTCTACACCGAAAATAATTTTACACGCGATAAACCTGAATCAGGCGTTTTAGGACGTACTGGTGTTGATGAATGTATACTTACATCTCCATTATTTGATATTGAAAACGAATCATCACCGAAGCTGCAAAAAAAAATAATAAATTTATAAAATGTGTATGTTTTTGTTTCCTTTCTACCTAAATTCTATAGTTTCCTTTAAATTTAGTACTGCACACTTTATTAAATCATTCAGTTCAAAGTTCAACTTAAAAATACAACTTCAATAATAAAAAAATTACACATTTCTTTTTGTTTACAGTTTTTAAATATTTAAATATTTTTGTCTACGTCTTTTAAATACTTTTTTCAAATTATAAACTTTCAACTAATTACGCAATTTTACTTATTCTTCATATATAACTAATATTGTTCTGATTATTCACTGATATATTTTAATTTTATTATAATATTTTATATTGGAATGTTAGGAAAATGAGGCAAGTAGGGGAATTGGAAAATTTGAAAGTTGAGATGAATAAATTAGAATTAGATATAGTAGGCATTAGTGAAGTCCGTTGGCCCGATGCTGGAGACATCTGGAGTGGAGGCTTTAGAATAATACATACAGGATCGGTGGAAGGTAATTCGGGGGAAGAAATTGTAATGCTTAGAAAAGCACAAAAATGCGATAGGATAATTATGTGGTCAGAACGGAAGGAATAGTAGGGATATAAAGCAAAGGATAGCGCAGAGTCGAGTCGCCTTCACTAAAAAGAAGCCACTTCTATATTCGGAAATTCGAAAGATTGTTAAAGGTGAATGTTTGAAGCGCGGCACTGTACAGGTGCGAAACATGGACGTGGGCGCGGAGGAAAAAACAGGTTACAAGCGTTCGAAATTTGGTGTTACTGGCGAATGATGACGATACCGTGGATAGAGAAGGTTGGAAATATTAGAAATAATAAGAGAATAGAGGACATTATGAAAGTCAATATGAAATAGGCGAGATAGGTTGGTAAGACACCTTCTCTAGTCAGAGACATATTAGAGACAGAAACTGGAGTTAGAAGGGGTAGAGGTAGGCCTAAATTAGATTACTGTTCGCAAATAGTTAAGGATGTGGGTTGTTTTAGTTTTAGGGAAATGCTAAGATTAGCTCAGGATAGGAAAGAGTGGAGGTGCGTGTCCAACCAGTCTTAGGACTGACGACCTTATGACGATGATGATAAATATTTAGTTAGGTAGTTAGTCTCTTTTACAATATCACTAAATATTAACTAATAATAATAATAGCTATAATACGCAATTTATTACTGTATTAGATTAAAATTATTACTCACTTGTCTATTTCTCTTAAATGAAGTCTCAGGTCTGAATCTGAATAGTCCATATTCATGTCACAAAGAGATGATTCCTTAATAAATATAATGGGAATGTTTGCATTCTCAAGATTTTCGTTTATACAATTCTCATTGTTGTCCTTCCAGTTTGCCTAAAAAATTTAATAAAGCTGTAAAACAATGTTATTTCGTTTTATATTAATTTTTAACAAAATTCAAATTTAAACTGCAGAATCCTATGTATACTCATCCTTACAATAAAACTGCTACACAATTACCATATCTTTATTCCTGATCTGATATTTTTGTTTAAAATTATTTCAGGTTCTAATTAAAAGTAAATGAACTGCAATCGAAATTTATGCGCTATGAAAACAGACCCTTCTTTCTAATGAACTATACTACAGGTTTAACTTTAGGTATAACTCCACAATGCTGAGACTGATTAGACTAGCAATTCAGTGTCTCGCTGTAGAAATGTTTGAAATTAATATTAGAACAATAAAATCTATTTGTAATCCTTTATTATTCTGTCCAAATGGTTTCAGGGGAGATCATTGTGAGATTGGAAGGGCCAAACTAAACAGGAGCATATGTAAATTAGGTTGTAAACACGGTACTTGCATTGATAACACTTGCGTTTGTGAGTCTGGTTGGTACGGACGTCTATGCCAACATAGTACACTTTAAAATTATGAATAATATGCCATCATGTTGCTTGTTTAAAAGATACATAAGTTGTATGTATATACCAATATACCTGTGAAAAACATAACTCTGTAGGTTTATTAAGAATATTTTGTATCCACATAAAATAAATAACTATTTTATTTAATCATTGTATTTAGTTTGGAAAAACCTTACATTATAAAAATGGATTGGTTAAAAGAAAAGTGTANCAAAATAAACTTTAATAGTAGCACTGATATATGCAAAAATATTTACAAGATAACCCAAGAAATACACAAATTGCTATCATATACTGTTTTTGAAGAAACGAAAAAACATCAGAAATAGTTCAACATTTTCAAAAATGGATCAGTAAAAAATGTAGTGGATTTCATTTTCTAATCAGTTAAAATTAAGTGTAAATGAATGGATCAATAATTATTCTGTATTTGAATACAAAAAGTCGATTTTATAGAGCACTATTGTATCATATTTGAGATCGTAATTTTTCATTTTATGAAAGCAATATAAGGCAACTATGTTTCGTTGATTTATTTTTTAATTATGTTGTATATTGTAAATTGTGCTATAACAAAATGATTTATATGTTGGCATTTCAAAATGATCTATATTTGTAAAAAAGGCTAGCAGCCTGTGTAAACTAAATACAACCATCTACAAAAAATGCCAAATTTTAATATCAACTGTTTTAAATTTTAAAAAATTACCGGCAAATTTATTAATTTCACAGATACAGATAAACTACAATAGGTCACATTGCAAGTATATTTATGGTAAAGTACTTACTTTCTTCAAATAATTTTGGGTAAATTCCACTGCGTAGCTGATGCCATAATGGTCCATTTGTTGGTAACATTAAATCAGTGGCCAATTCTAACATAGAAATACCAAGACTAAAAACATCAGATGCTGTAGTATATATTTCCTGAAGCACTTCAGCTGCCAAATACTTTGAATCTCCCTCTGATACATTTACAGAGCTGTGGTGATTCTTTTTATTTTTGAACTGGTAGAAAAAAACATAATTACAAATTAATAAAACAACAATTAATTAACATACTTCATTCAAATCCAGCAGTAGGCCGAAATCACCCAGTTTATAAATCCCTTCACTGGTAATCATTATATTTTCTGGTTTAATATCCAAATGTATTAAATTGCGATTGTGCAAATGTTTTAGTGCCTACAAAAAAGACATTTTCAGAAATTTTAAGATCAAAACTATTACACTATTTACCTCAAGAATATCAATTAATATATCCCACATTTGCTGCTCAGGAATATAGTGGTTTTGTTGTGCATATTTGTCAAGACTTGTCATACATAACTCTAACTGTATGTATAAATGACCCTGCTCTTCCCAAGCTAAGAAGTATTTAACACATCTCTCATGTTCCTCAATCTTTTCAAGACGCAAAACCTCACCAAATTTTTCACTATAGCTTGTGTGATTATTTTTGGCAACCTTGATTGCATAATATTCATTATCTTCTTTAGAACGGGCTCTGTATACATTTCCAAATGAACCTTCTCCAACCTTAACTTGATTTTCAAAAACTTGTTCCATATATGTTAATTTTAATTCTTTCTTGTAAATTGCACTTAAAGGTACTAGAATTTTACTAAGGATAATAATACACTAATACACAAATGTCAAAAAACTATCAATCACTAATTAGTATTTTTAATTTAACATTTAAATAGTATAATTTAGCATTTTTCAAATTAAAGGATACTTTCTTTCTGAAAATAAACAGGCACTGCGTAATCATGGAAATTAAATAATTCCTTGCCATTGGATCTTCGAAGTTTCATAGGTACTGGAGGGCATACAGGGCCTGAACATGTATTTCGTAATTCTAACTCCTAAAATTAAAATTGTACACAAAAATATACATTAACTGCTATGAATCCAATACCTTTTTAGTAAGATGTTTTTGCCTTGTTGAAACCTCTGTGAGAGATAAATTGCCTTTGATTCTCTTACGAGCTGCCATTTTTAAAGTAAAATCGGGAGAGATAAAAAATAATAAAATTGTTGATTTTAATTAAAACAATGTTTATAAAATACTTGTTTTCACATTTAAAATGTTTAAAACACGTAAAATACTTATTTAATAACCACGTAATCACTTAAAATTTTGACATTTTGACAGACACAAAACAGGCCTTGACAGATATTTTGATACAGACCTTCAGTACTAACAACCTTTATTTTTAGGTCACCTCTAGTGAAATTCAAACTCCCCTATTTTGAAAACTTGGCGGGACAACTTTGAGCAACAACAAAAACTAAATATTTTCGAAGTCAGTTTAATTTAATTGTTAAGTACTTGGTATACAGGACTTTTGAATAAACGAAAAATATTGTTTTAATTATGTGGCAGCCCCTTCAAAACGCTTCTAACCGATAAGTTTAAGGAGATTACAATAAAATACATGCAATTGTAAATTATTTAAAAAACAAAAAAAAACAATATATTGTATATTCTCTGTATATATACAACAAAAACATTAAAGAACTTCATGAACTTTTTTCATACTTACTTAATACCATGTTTCATAACTTTTAATAGAAAACTAGATGCCACCGATGGAGCGAATATGTAGATATTGTTATTTACTTCAAATGGAATAAGAGCCCGTAGGCCCTCTAACTCTCCTTTTGATTCCAATTTCCAGCCCTGAATATATTGAAATGAGTAAATATAAAAATGTCCATTTTCTGTAACGATGCATAAAAATGCATCGCTTATACCAAAACCTACGGAAAATATTCAAAGATAAATAATTAATTTTTTAATTTTGTATATATTAATACTAAAAGTATCAAGTGTGTTAGGGAATGTCATAAAATATCGAATTTTATTCAAAAGTATTTTTAGAATCGGTGACGATTAAGATAAAAGTAGAGGGCAATGCCAAGTGTATAAAGTATAAACGTACCAGATATTTTCTTGGCAATTCTTATTACTCATTTAACAGTTTTGGCAAGAAACGTAAAGCTATTTTAAGTTAATTTATTGTACGATTAACTAAACATTTGACAGTATCATTGTAATAAAGCCGTAGTGAATGTGCGTGACTTTGGTATTCTTTTGTGCGAAACAAAGCTGTTTATTTAATTGAATTTGTAAGTACCTAGGTACGTTTAGTTATTTACTTTTAAAATTTAAAAATTGTGATTGTTTTATAATTTACCTCCGGAATAAAATGCTGAGACGCTGATTACGGGAGAATCTAACAAAAAACTTTGGTAAAAGTAGTAATTATCATAAAAATGCGAATATTTATAAACTTCTAGAGGCAAGTTATTCTGTTGTAGCACAATTAAGCTGTCACTACTTTCGACTACTGCAGTAACTGAAGAACAACCAGTCCCTGGTATGAATCGTAATAATATGAACTAAAATTAATTAATAAATTATTTAATTACGACGAATATAATTGAAATAGATACCTTATCAGATGATTCGTCAAAACGATATATTCCAGCGTTGTTGTACATAGTGTCGTTCCGCGTATTACAAATTATGAGTACAACGCCTTGAGCTGAATAAAATAAATCTAAAACGGGGGCTCCACTACTCTCAATTTTCTGAATAAGCAAAATCTGTTCCTACAATTAATATTGTACAATACAAAGGAATTTTCTCTAATTGTAAATTTATATGTATTTGAAATGATATATACTGCGATCTTTTGTATATTCCAATACCAATTCCCTGCACAAGTACATCCTACTTGGGGAATGTACATTAATATACTATTTACATATGTAATATGACATATTCTTAATTTTTACCCACTACAAACTTCCTCAAACTAATGAGGAAAAATTGTTGCTGTTGTCACACCCCCGCCGGGAATCGAACCCGGGCTCTTTGGCTTTACGCGCCAATGCTCTGACCACTAAGTTAAAAACTAACTCACTTCGGGAAGATTTCTACATTGTATGTACATATTGTTGGTAAAATAAACAATGTATATATATATACCTTTCCTCTGGAAATCTTGTACACTAAACATCTTAAACTGTTCTGTCCTTTAAGTAAGTGGTATCGACTTAAAATGACATAAACGTTATCTCCTTGTGTGAAAAACTTTACCCCTGATACGTATCCGAAAATCGGTTCGGGGTAAATAAACGAAGACCCAGTAGTATTTAGAAAATTCTTTCGCGTCCAAGTTATATGAGTCAGCTCGTTATCAGGGTGTTCGTGACTAAAGTTACAAATTAATGACAATTATGGTATTATTAAAAGAAAATAAAGTTAAACAAATACCTGCAACGTTCTGTTGTGCTAACTGCATTTGTTATAACATTAACCGTTATATATTCGTCGCTGTAAGAAAAGGTTCTTTGGGAGCTACCAATATGGAAAGGATGTATGGAAAGATGGGGCGAAATTTGAAAAGTGTGCTGTATAGAGCAAGGACAATCGGCGGGTAATCCACAAACATCACCACTTTCTTTTGCAGTTATGTGTAACATTAGATATCCATCGTCAACCGTTGTGTATGCTGTTTCTACACTGGGCAGTGATAATTGCAAATTTATCGCATTTTCAATGTACAGATATTTACCTACATTAACTACAGAAATGACAATTAAAATACACAGTTAAATAACACAACTAATTTTTAAAAATAAACGTACCATTCATTTTTTTTATGGTATTTTGAACAACTTCTTTGGTGTCGTTAAGTTTTAATTTAGTGCTTTCCAAGTTCATTTCTGACCTACTGTATTCGAAAAGTTTTTTGAAATCCTCAACTAAATATCCATTTATATAAGCGCTGTTGATGTTACCGACAGCAAATGATGGAGCAAATATTTCCTAAAATGTATTAATTTATTAAAAATATCTAACGTAATTAAAAATTGAAATAGTTACCACATTTTCTGCAAATCGTATGCCATTTTTCTGTGTCAATACCTTTTCAAAAATTTCTTTGAGACTATGTTTATTAATACTATCTACATTTATTTTTCTGTGAACGTCTACATCTGTAAAAATCACTGGTGTATCAAGTTTTTGTATTCCTTCATCAATCACCAAGTCTTTTAAAAAAACGCCATTTATTTCCTCAATTACTGAATCACCTTAAAACCATCAAAAGGAAAAAATAGAAATTTATTTATTCTTATATTATTAATATTAGGTACCCAGTAATAATACGTCTTCGAAAAAGTAGTTTCCGTATGCCCTTTGATGTTCATCAGAAGATTTTTTCAGAAGTTTCTCTAAAGTGTATGTAACATTGAAATTGTTAATAAATTCAATGTCTAAGTTGTTGCGGATAAAAACCGAATTAAAACGTACATTAGGAATGAACATTAAATCGTTTAAATTAACGAATACTTTTGGTTCCACATCGAATAAGCGACGAGCCTGAAATTTGTAGGTACAAAAAGTGAAATAGTTTATGGATATACCAAAGAATACTCTCGTACAAAAAAGTTACATGAACTTCTTTTTTTTGTGTATCTTATCAAAATTATTATAGTAGAACTATGATTGAAACTGAAAGACCGTGCTCTAAATAAACTGTTAGATCCAGACGTTTTGCCGGCAACTGCGACAGTCTTCTTCAATGTTATTACGTTGATAACGTGGGCGAAGATGTTGGCCGCAGTTGCCGACGAAACGTTTGGGATACGACCCTTCACCCCAATCATAACTCTACCGTGGATTCAGATTTTAGTATACATTCCAACCACAGATAAGTTCAGTATGAATTTGAAGATACTGCCGGTATAATCGTCACCTGTAGTATGCCTGTTGTAAACATTTGTGGTCGGAATGCGTACTAATATAATTATAGAAGACAATATTCTTTAGATATACTGTCCTATACTTACTGAAATAATATCAACTTGAAGACCCTCATAAAATGTTTTTTTTCCTTCAATGATTGTTTTATTGAGTTGCGCCTGACGCACAATTTTTTTGTCGAGTTCTCTAACGTCTATATTGTTTATTAGCGGAACTTTTAGCATTCCAATTATCGTTGCCCCACTTGTAAATAAATAATTAAAAATTGTTTTGCTCGAAATAACCTGCAAGTGTTACATACAATTAGGTATCTACATAAAAAAAAAAACGAATGTTAAACTGACCTGTTGGTCTCCATTAATATACAGCGCATCTTTAATTAAATGTGATAAATTTATCTCGTTGATACTGCCTTTGATATAAACATTATTAGCATTAATGTTTCCATTAAAAATTACCTTGAATTATATTTATTTATTTCTCTTATGTTAAGCATGCATTTTACTAAGTACCTCTCCAGAAACTGCATAATTTTTTGCGATTTCGATATTTTTTCTCAATATTTCTCCAAGTAAACAATTTTCGTCTGCCAGGGTTGTTAAGCCTAATACACGGACATTTTTCCAAGTTTGTACGATTGGATTTCTTATAGATTCAATAATTTTCATGATGTCGCATCGTAAACTGTCGGCGAAAACAGACTTTTGAAAGTTTACAGAATGTAAAATTAAACCCTCTGCTACACGTAGTTTCTGCGCTTCTTTACTTTTTATATTAACAAGATCTCCAATTTTAATTTTGTTAATACCATCCGTCCACAAATTACCTAAAATAAGAATAAGTTGGTTGCAATTTGGGGAAATCTAAACAATTTTATGTTACTACTTACTACTTTTAAGTTTTCTAAAAGAGTGTGCGACCGAAATATTTTGACTCCATCCTCTATAAAACAACCGCTCAGTTAATTTAACAAAATCGACATGATTAATAGAAGCCACCTGTATATTGTCAGTTGTAACAGTTCCCAAAAATTGAACTTTGTTTGCCAGTAATGGTGATTGCTAATTGCAACAAAGAAAGTGTAATTTTATAGCAATTAAATTGATAAATTAAAGAATTCATTACCATTGAAAGAAAATCCTTTAGCCACTTTTTATTCAAATTATTAAGTTTTATTAAGCCGTCGATTTTGTCAATGAAACCATTCTTTCCAATTAATTTCTTTAGAGTATTAGTTTCGTAAATTTGATTGATAAGTGAACAATAATTTATAAAATCTTCGTTGTCGTGCTTTACTATTTCAAGATTTTTAACTAAAATAAATATTAACATAAAGGATATACACGAGTAGGTGATGGAGAACAAAAAGCATTATGGAAGTCAATAGAAAAGAGATAAATTTATAGAGACATGTGGGGTTAATTATTATATAGAGGCTTACCAGAAGCAGAAACAGGAGTAAACAGGGGTAGAGAGAAATGAGACTAAAGAGGGGCAGACGCGAATCCAGGTTAAATTACTGTTCGTAAATAATTAGGGATGTGGGGTGTTGCAGTTATCTGTAAATGCAAAGGATAGTAAGGGGTGGGGGTGCATGTCCGTGTTAATGTTCGGACTGACAACCCTTTGAGGGTGATATATCAGTAGCAGCAATATCGTTTTATTAACTTCTTACCTGTAATATGACTAAAATTCAATCGATTTACGAAGTTCTCTTGGTTAATTAAAACAATTTTACTTGGCTTTTTTCCGTTTATAGTGTCCACATGGGCTAATTCAGCTGTTAGGTTTCCTGTTATTATAATACGATGAAAAACTTTCTCGTCTACAAATGTTTTCTTTCATATCACACGCTCTATTAAAATAGTTAGCAAAATTTACCATCAATTATTTCCGAATTATCTTTAATAAGAGAATCCGAGTTGACATTGTTTATAAAGTTAGTTGTAAGGCTGCCTATGCGAAGTTTTTTTGAAAATTCTTTTTTACCTTTTATGACATGCCTAAAACATAAAATTCTTATTATTTACACACCACATTTATTTAAGTTACGTACTGGCCAAAAGATCGAACAATCTCTTTGTCAAGTTGCTTCAATTGTTTCACTTGTATGGATGGATTTGTAAAATTAATGCTTCCAACGATAGTCAAATTTTCGAATACAAAGTTAGATACAGGTTTGTCATCTAAATTATTTAGAAGAAACGTATTAACAGCAATGGAATTAAGGGTATCTGTTGTAAGGGAAGTGGTAGCAACCCCGTGTAGTGCTTCAAAGTGAACTGGTATTTCCTAAACAGATACGCAACAACTTATTATTACAATAACAATTGATGACACTTATACTTTTTATATGGTACATAGGGCATTTACCTGATTTAAACTCTTTGACCAATAGTATTTATTGATAACGTTTTCAGTAAAATTATCATCCCTTACTAAAATTTGAGTAGAATTTCCAATAAACAAACTTTGGACATACAAATTTCCTTTAATTATCACCTTAGAATCGTAAATTTGTAATAAATCAGATTCTCGAGTACCAATTATATGCTCTCTGCTTTTAAATTTCATTTCTCCGTTCTTATTTTCGTGAGTAACCAACAAATCATTTTCAATTTTTATCTTGTCTATACTTATAGGGCCTAATAGAAGACAAAATTATTATATACTTTTTCTTTTAACAATATATACCTGGACCTACCCTTTATTCTATTGTTTTCAGATGTAGCAACTTCTGAATTGAAATCGATATTATTAATGAGCACTACATCCAAATTATTGGCGTTAACATTTTTTAATTGAAGCGAAGAAGCTACAGTCTGTTCTGTTGATGTGGTAAAAAGTTCTTCTACTTTATTTCCTAGTAGAGTGACAGCAGTAACGTGATCAACATTGACTTTTGGAACAATAACATTTCCTACAATATGTGTCAAATTTTAAGAATGAAAAAAATTAACTATTATGTATAACTATTTCTGACCAGTAATTCTTCTAGTTTTCCCTTTTTGAAACGTAGTATTGTACAAGTTTTGAAACGATACTCCGTTAATATTTGTTGTATAAATCGCAGTCAGTACATTCGGAAGTGAAATGTTTTTAATCAAAATGGAATTATACAAACTTTTAATAAAGTTCGCTGGCTTTTCCTATAACACAAGCGAATTGAATTAGTATACTAGTATACTTATTACATATACTATCAAATGGTACAAAAAATTACCCCGTTAATAAATTCAGCTTTCAAATTTGTAGTTCTAATTTCTAAAAATTGCTTTCTTCCAGTCACTAGACTTGTGCGACTAATTATGTAAATATTTTCTAATAAAATATCGTTAACGTTTTGGGAATATACTCTACTTGCAGTCAAAGTATCAAAAGTAAAGTTTCCCTGCAACTCTTGGTTTCCACTGTGTAATAGTAATTCTGAAATCATATTTTCGTAATATACTTTTTTTTTATATAATTAAAAGTATTACTAAAGTTAGGGTATGAAAGAAAAATTTCATCAGCTTGGATACTTTTTGCGAGAACTTTGCCTTGTATAATTTGGGGCTTCGAATATAAAAGCCATTGATCAGGCTCCCACTGAATATTATTTAAAACAAAAATAAACAGATTTGGAGCAGTAATCATATCAACGTTCAAATTTCCTTTAAAAATAGTTTTTCCTTTTAATACCTACAAAAGAAACAAAATAATTAATTAAATAATAAGTGCCAATTAAGAATACATATTACTTACAACGCTATTAATGTAAAAAAGGTTTTGCAGTTGCGATTTTATTTTGTTCAGTTTTCCCAAGATTTCTTTAAGATAATTTTCAAAATCCAAAAACTTAAAAATAATAAATGTATACATAATCAGGTACATAACAATTAGACGCCTAACTCACAGATGCAGCAGTGTCCCCTCTATTACTACCTAAAATGGTATGAGAATCGGACTTATTTTGAAATAATTCTGAATTATCCACAGCATCCATTTGATGAAAATTTACAATATCTTGTACATTAGCTAAGCATTGTAATAGAATGTCTTTTTCTTCAAAATATTTTTCTAAAACAGCAAAAAGTTAGGCTTAGTAACTCGGTACTTCAATAATAATTTACCTTCTTTAAGGAAACTAATATCAAAAGGTACGACTGAAAGTGACAAAGCTTGATTGTGTGTCAGAGTAAAAATTACAAGAGCATTTTTATTATCACTGTATTTTAAAAGTCCAAAATCTAACTTTTTACTAAAATTTTTACGAAGTTCTATTTTGGAAATTAATTTCCAGGTGTGCTGATACACTTGCATAATTAAAAGATACTCCTGCAAAACAAAAATATTGTCATATCAAGATCCTATTAGTGAAATGATTGAAAGCATCACACCTTCTCCACCAAAAACACCGAGGGACTGCTCCTAAAAGACGTTACCATGGCTTTTTCAAGATTTGTGCAGGTAAACATTTTAAACCACGGTATTAGCTTTGAACCTACATAAAAATGCCAGCTGTATATTTTGCTAAAACAATCTATCTAATATATGTACCTGTCCACCGAAGCACATGAAGATTCCCTCCGCTGTTATATATTGCTACATAAATAGTACTATTAAGACTATAAATAATCACATGTTCAGGATGAGGAATATTCAATGCTTGTAATTTTATCAATTGGCCATTTTTAAATTCAAACACTTGTGTAGAAAACTAAAAATATTGTATTATATTTTAAAGTATTCGATATATCGTATTACCTCTTTTTCGCTAAAGATTTTTGTTGAAATTATAATTTCTGAATGATTATTGTTTGTAAACGATGTTATTCCATCACAATTACCAATAAATAGCTCACTGTCTTCATCGAAATGAATACCTGTCCATTTATATATACTAAAATGAAATTAAATAAGTAATTATTATAAAGAAAAAACTTTCTTCTAAATTACTTACGTGAGAGGTGCTCCCTTTAAATTACTATTTGTAATAACCAAATATAGGTGTGCGTTTTGTACAAAAAATGTAGCATCTGTTGCAAAGTCTTTGTTTTTTATTGCCTGAAGAAAAACCCATTGCTGCTCTTGTTTTGAATATCCATAAATATACGAATACCCAATGGACAGCGTTACAAATAATAAACCCATGCCATGGAAATCTGTTGCCTTAAAATTATTTACAATTAAACTAACAGGTACTTTACAATACCATATTTTTACCTTTGCAAATAATATTTCTTTTCCATTTAAATGTTCTAACTGTTTACAAAATTGTAAAATTATTTTATCAGAGACAGGCAACATACAGTATAACTGTGAATCAACAAGTACAAAAGTTTCATTAAAAATTTGAAAAACTGATGAAGAAGTGCAATTAAATGGTAAAAAAAGTTCTTTGACTGTATGGAAGTTCAAATGTAGGTGCTGAATGTCTAAAATAAGAGTTTATAAATTAAATACATGATTAAACATAAGTTAAAAGACAATATACCTTCACGATCATATTTATCATATTCCAACAATGTTATTCTATCCTTCATAATCTCAAACTTGTTATTTAAATATTCCTTTAAAGAATTGACGCCATTTTCCATACAACTAACAGGGTTACTAATTTTCGTAATAAAATAAATACTCTTAAAGAGAAGTAGTTCAGAAATACAAAAATAAGTAAACTATAGTATCTTACCATATAAATCCCCAAAAGTTTCCTTTTAAACATCGCATATATGCTTCTTCCCCTTAATTTTTGCTGCAACGTGTTAGTTGATAATAAATAACTGATAAAATTTAAGGCTTTTTACGTGTAGGACATTTTTTTCTTCCTTTTTTTACAGAAACTGATAACTTCTTTTTAATTTTCTTATTATTCTCCTCTTTCAAATTTTGTTTCTGCCAACCTATATTAAGCAAATACATTGCTTTTTAAATTGAAAATTTTTAAATATTTAATTTTATTTCTTGCAAATTACTATATTAAAAGTATCATTTTATATAAATTTGTTCAATGAAATTGTTATTTTAATTCTTCTTTTGAGTAAATCGATCTAATAAAAGGAAAAGTTGAACATACCTTTTCTAGAGAGTTTTAAATTTAAGTTGTTGGCGATATGTAATTTTATTTTAAACTTCAGTCAAGTTCAAACGGTTGCAAATGTCACTTTTGACCGTTACTTTCTTCATTAGATTTAACACTTAAAATACTATTCAAAATTGTTCGTTTAATGATTATATTTTTCTTAGGTTTGTAAATCATTAGTGATGGACGATTTACCATTAAGAGAATGCAGTAGCGACAATTTAATTTCAAATAATTCGGTAAGTTCGCCACACTACTTTTTCTTGTACTACCCTTTAAATAAACAAATAAACAATTAGTAAATAAAACATTAGGAACGTATTATCATTTTAAATATTATTACGGTAAAGGTAAAGTCAAAAAATTAAATTAATAAACAGTACTGAATTGTTATTTTTTTATATTAGGTAGAGCAAGAATCAACGGAACATGAAGCATTAGTTACAAATGAGAAAGGTAAAAATATAAATTTTTTTTTATACCCTAATAGTGATTATAATGGGAAATAAAATTAGGTACATGTATATTCCTTAATTTTCGCGACTCAAATTTGAAGTAATTACGCATGCGCTCTTAGGCAGGGTCGTTGCAGGAGTGTGACGTGAAATTTATTTTGATTCCCATCAGTCTGTTAATGCATATATGTATTTATATACATTGTAAAAATTAATTTATTGTTGTATCCATTGCAACAAAATTTTTCGTGAGTTGGTTGCAGAGCACTAACAACATTCTTTTTACTTCGGTGACGCATAACCCTGAAACGTCATGATACGATACTGTTAGGTATATACAAAAACATATGCACTAATTGACTCACTTTTGTGTTTTCTTCACATGTTTTTAATTTTTTAATTTGTAATATACTACATTTTCCAGATCACATTAAAAAAGTAAAAATAATTCGCCAGTATTTGTAATTTATTGATTACTGTATTATTATATGTGAAACATTTGTGTTTTTAGGAATATATGATTCACCAGTCATTACCCATCCAAGATTATCAATTCTAACAGAATTTGATCCTCTGTTTAAATCGTCGTAAGTTATAACTTGTGCACAGTTTCAGATATAAATGAAATAATCTTCTTTTATAGGGCTTCTGACGAATCCATAATAAAGGAAACATTTCCTGAAGAAGTAGAAGTGTCATCATGTAAAGACACTCCAGATTCTTCTCTGGATAAAAATAAGAAAGATGGTTTATACAGTAAACTGTTAGATATTACAGCTACTAATACCACCCAGGAAAACGTTTCAAATTTTATTCAAGAACAAGAAAATAGTTTAGCATCTAGTGACGATACAAGTAAATCAGATAGTCAAGATAACATTAAAGACTGCACATTTGATGAAAACAAAAATCCCACAACTAATAATAAATTGTTAGATACCTTTTGTTTAGAAGATAAGATATCACTAGAGGAATTGGATAATAAGCAAAATAAAGATACTTCCAGATGTAAGAAAGATTTGTATAGAAATACAGAAAGCGTGGAAGATCTACTTGAAGAGAAAACTCAGGCAAAACCCCTTCACTTTAAGTTAGAATCTCAAGAAGATGATAAATCAATTAATGCAGAAGATAATCAAATTGATTGTAATATAAAATGCTCTTTTAATTTGGAAGAGACAGAAAGTCAAATAAGAAAAACAGAAACTCCAATAAAAGTTTTGTCAGAAATAACACATTGTATCCAGAATACATCTGAAGAAAATAAAGATAAACAGGACTTGCTTAACATAAATTTAATAAAAAGCAGGAAGTCATTACCAGCTTATCATAATAATAGTATATTTGAAAGAAAAAAGAATCATAAAAGACACTCTTTGCCTCATAATATTGAAAAAAATGTTGGTATAGTAAAAGCTAGTCCTAAAATTTTGAATAACACAAGTGATGGTCAGAATATAGAAGCATTGAAGGAAAAAAAAACGAATATTGTAAGGCACACAATATTGATAAATTTATCTTATCCAAACATTATTATTTTTTAGAATATGGATATCTCAGACAATTTAGAAGAAGAAAACTCTGATTTAAAATTGCAACTGAATGCCTCTCAGCAAGAAAGGGCAACATTAGAACTGGAAATTAGACAGAAAGAAGAAGTAATTATAAAAACACAGGCTGAACTAATACGAAAAGAACAAGCTTACAAACAAGAGATAAAACAATTAAAACAGAAGTTAGAAGAAAAATCTACAAAAAATGATAGTGAAAATATTAATGAATTAGAGGAGACAATTAAAAATTTGAAAGCTAGAGAAGCTAGGCTGTTAAGTGAAATTAATACTTTAGCCAAAGAAGAAAATAGTTTCAAGTAATATATTTACTTTCATTTTTGATACAAATAGATTTAATATTTATTTTCAGGAAAATAATGGCAGAATTTGAAATAAATATTCAAGAGAAAGTGAATGAAATCCAAAAACTAAAAGAAGAGCATGAAACAGTTAAAAGACATTTAGCTAATTTAGAACTTGCCTTTTCAGATGTACATCAGTAAGTAAAACATTAAAGAATTTTATACATACATAGTTTAAGCTTTTACTGTTGAAACTAATTTATACTAGCAGACACATCTTTGTATGTTTAGTTTAATGTACATGTTGTTGAAATAATATAAATATATATAAAATGTTAATTCTTCCCACAGGAAATATGAACGCAGTAAAAATATAATAGAGCGCTATAAACTAAATGAGGAGGCCCTGCTACAAAGATTGGCTGCATCTGAGGAAATGGTTCAGAAAAGTGAAGAAAAGTACGATTCGTTAAAAGCCCATGCAAAAGCACAAATTGAAAAGTAAGTTAGGATTAATAATAATATAATGTATAATGATACAACAATGTTTCTTCTTTTTGAATTAGAATTGGCAAAGAAATGGCGAATATACGTGAATCGAACGATATGGAAATTCATAAACTCCAAGCTATAATAAAACGATTGGAAATAAAAAATGCTTCCTTAATGGTATCGTTAGATCAGAAGAATAAAGAATGTTTAGCTTTAACTGCACTATGTGATGAAGTCACTGGGAAAGTGTGATTCCCTGATTCTATTACTTTAATACATCTTTACAAAAATCATATGTTCATTTTTCAGTGGGAATACAACCTCATAATTTTTTTTACTCATTTATGTTGTCTTTTTAATATAAATTAAATATAACACATCAAAATTAGAGGAGAGAAGGAATCATTCCACCAAGTATATTACATGCTGTAGTTTGCATTAAAAATAAATAAACATCTAACATTTCAGTAATTGGCTACAAATCATTTGTATTGTAATGAAAGTCTTGTAAAAAATTCTGTAATACATTAATACACAATGCACTTTGTTTTATTAGAAATATTTGCACAATGTATTTCCAATTAAAGATCTGTAGTCAGTTAGTGTCTTGTTAGTGAGCATCAAGAAGAGTAAAAGTCATGTAGGACTTCTAAAAATGTGTATTCATACTCATTTAGAAATTAGAAGCTGATAGTAAACTACAAACAACTTGGAATGCTACATCAATTAATTAATAATAAAAACAATTTTAAACCACCAATAATTTTGAAAGAGGAAATGCTTGCTATTTTTGCTAAAGATCTATATCCTTCGCTATATACCTTATATGTAATCTCTTAATTTTATTATTGGTTGTAATAAGTTGGTTAATTATTGTAGTCAACTATTAATTAATTAATATTTACTAGCATCATATTTATCTCTACAAAAACTACAATTGCATGGCCAAAGTTATCGAGCATTTTTGCATTAAAACTACTGAAAAGATTTTAATTACTATCATTAACCATCGTTATTTATTTGTTCATTAAATTACCCATAAGTAATTAATATACGCGAGTATATTGCTTTGCTAATTAAATAAGTGATATGTATAATTTTACAATTGGAAAAGGATACTGTCTACTATCTGTACTTAACTACATTGTCCATCCACTCACTTAAACAGTAGTTTAGAGAGATCTGTAAAAATTATAATTATTAAAATGTGTAAAAAAATACATATTTGTTTGTACCCTACTTGTTTATTTCTTTAATTATTTTTCACCTATACTCTTTCCAAGTGAAATATATTTACATATTTAAACTTGTTGATTTATAGGTGAATTAGGAGTTGACAATACTATTTGATATAAAGTAGATGAAAACAATTTATTTTATTAACGTTTATATACTCTACATTATTGACTTGAGCTTAAACATTCTTATTTTATATATTATTTCCTACATAATTACATACTTAAGTTAACTAATACTTAAAAAAAGTTGAAATGACTATAAAACAGACTTCTTTTTAAAAATGTTCAGTAAAATAAAAATACTACAACTACATATACTTATTATAGATGTGTACACATTATATATAATTCCTTTCACTTATACCATATGAATGAATGCATAAATTTTCGGCAGCCTTTTATATTATAAAAGAATTGATTCCAAAAAGGCGCACGTTTAGTTTTAATGAAGTAATAAAAACAGGTACCATTGAAACAAAATGATGTTGCGATGTTACAAAAATGATGATACTTCTTTTATAAGCTTTGTTTATAGAATAAATCAATTTTATGATGTGTCATTGTTTTGTCTGTTTATTTATCATAATTAGTTGTCTACGTCAAAAATTTCAAAACCATTACTAGAAACACACCAACTGTCCAATTCAACTTAGAACATCCACTTGTACAAACAAAACCTTCGTGGCTGATTGTAACTTTTGCATTATCTGGATATCGACAAATGGAGTCTAAAACAATGTTAATGGTAATAAGAAATATCTTCTAAACAACTTTTGATAAGGTAAAGGGGAACGAACAGTACAACGAATACACTGACATTGTAACATTTTAAGGAACACTTGCAGGATCGCAAAAAAAGAGGCGGTAATATCTAGCATCATCTAATCTCCTTGGGCCCTTTGCCGATTGGCGCGCTATTTCAAATATTTGGTTTATTTTTGAACACACCTTGTAAAATTTTAGTTATAATGTTATAATCAAGTAAAAATTGGTCCTACTGTGATGTGAAATGAACCAAAAATACTTATTTTATTCCCACTATATCTTCAGAATTTCATGAAAAAGCTACTCTTATTTCATATTGACAGTACTGTACCTACCTGTGCATTGAAAGGTTCTTGTTGTACTTGTAAGCTGGACTGAGAAATAGTACGGTGGACATGAAGAAATTGTGCTGTAGCCGCTACATGCGTTATCTAACGACTTCGTTAGTTCATTGGTAGATCTCAACGTTTCGCAAGTAACATCACCATCACTGTTGGTATTATTCTGACTAGGACGAGAAACAGTTCTTGAGTTACAAACAACAAATGTATTTTGGGAGTTTGCGCCTCTGATTTTTAAGGTACGGGTACCATCACCAAACAGGTAGTTGGGAGATATTTTATAATAGTTCACGTTGGTTGGTTCAATGTATTGATAAAAAGAACTAGAGCCGCTCTCACCAGACCAATTGCTTCCACACTTTGGGTTGATTATTCTTCGGGGTACTAAAAAGTGATTATTCACAGTCATCTAATAAATATTAATGAAACCAGTAACGAAAACTTACTTTCTTTAATTCTTCTTACAAGCGAATTTATGGCGTCAGTTACTGTTGCACCATCTGAACTCTCGGGTAAAGTAAAAATATCAGTTGAAGTACTGTAGACAAGGTATAATTTGGGGCTTCGAATATAAAAGCCATTGATCAGGCTCCCACTGAATATTATTTAAAACAAAAATAAACAGATTTGGAGCAGTAATCATATCAACGTTCAAATTTCCTTTAAAAATAGTTTTTCCTTTTAATACCTACAAAAGAAACAAAANGAACTCTCGGGTAAAGTAAAAATATCAGTTGAAGTACTGTAGACAAGGTCATTATAGCTACTGGCGCTGCTCCTTCCCAGGACAAGAAGTTTCAAATCTAAAATGCAACAAATACAATAGAAACAAAATTTTATCCAAAAATTTTTGCAAATAAATAATCGAATCCACATTCACATGATGTTAATTCATATTAAATAAGTGACAAAAATTTCAACACAGATACACAAAACCAATATCACAATTTATGGTAATTTGGCATCATAAGTAGTTATATTATTCCGTAAAAAGTAGTTGGACAAACGGAAAGTTCGTCCAAAAAAGGAATCGAAGAACGCAGAATGTTATTCATTAATAAAAATGAAGAACGAGAGACCCAATTAAAAAATAAACATAAAAATTAAATTTTCATTTAAAGTCCTGAAAAGGCAGAGCATATAGCTAAAATTTTTGAAAATCACCACTACTTAAATTTGTTTCTATCAAATCCTGAGACAACAGTAATAGAGTACATATATTTATAACTTCTTTAAATCCGGATCTTCTTATGAAGCCAGTGTAGCGAAAACAATGCCTAAATTAATAAGAATGTGAAAAATGATTTTGTTTTGTGTTTTTTAAATATTAACTTCTCCTACCTGGAATATAGGATTTAAACACTGTTTTCCTCTCAGAAATCCACTGTTTATCACTATCTGAAATAGTTTGTGTGTAAGGTACGAAAAGAGCAATCAACGATTGTCCTCCTAACGATTGGGTAATTGTAGCATTGTCCATTCTTGCCCTAGCTATTTTTTCAACTTCATTAAACGCCGTACGGAAGTCAAACCCAGATGTAACTGGAATAATAAACGAGCCGTTATTACATAATTGCAAACAATATCAAAGTTATTGAAAATGAAACGAAGAGAAATTTATACAAAGTACTAGGCATATATAGCACATGGTTCTCATAAATGATAGACCAATCCGAACCGCTGACTGAATAAGGAATCAGGATGATAAAATGCATATAGTTTATATTTTTTATGAGAATCGAATAGTAATTATTATCCTGCTATTAACAGATGGGAAGATAGTGTAGAGATAGATGAGCTAGGTTATCCCATAATGAGAGAAGAGTTCGGTGTAGCATTAAAAAACTTAATGAATAATAAGGCGCCAGGGGTAGATGGGATACAGGGGGGAATTCTAAAACATGCAGGACCAAAAGTCCCAAAGGATTATAAACGGAACGTGGTAGTAACCATACCTAAAAAGAGAGGCAAGGATAGGTGCAAGACATTTAGAACAATTAGCTTAACTTTCCATGCGTCAAAAATCTTAGCCAGTATTGTACAGAGGAGGATGCAAAAAAGGGGAAGATCAATTTGGGGTTAGAAGAAATAGAGGAACGCGGGGGGGCATTCTGGCTTTACGGGTAACAATAGAGAAAACGACAGGGAAAGGAAAGAGTGCGTATATAGCAACGTTAAATGGGACAAGATAACTAAGTTTTAGGGAAATGCGAAGATTAGCTCAGGATAGGAAAGGGTGGAGGTGCGTGTCCAACCAGTCTTAGGACTGACGACCTTATGATGATGATTAACAGATAGATACAAGCAAAGATGTACGTAAAGAACGTTAGATTAAAAAGTTTTACGTGTTTAATTTCCACCAGCTACTAATGGTGGTGGATAGCAGTCCCTTCCACTCACACTTTTAGTACAACGTTGAAGGGTAGGATGGAAAGCTCTAATCATTCCACTTTTAGGCATTGTGGGAACGGATGGGTGAGGGCTAAGGAGAGACAGATGAGGTGGATGAAATGAAGGCAAAAAGGGAATGAAAGATTATTATTATACGTGGAAATTACTGTCCTAGTATTTGTCTAAATGATCCAAGGAAACCACAGGAAAACTTGGATCAGACCAGGTGGAGCAGTTACTAAAGTTTGATCTAGATTCTTGAATTTAGACTATTAGATTTAGCTTGAACGTTCGGTTTTTAGTCAGCAATTCATCGAAAGCGTAGATATGAAGAGGAGTTTCGAATTTATTAATTAATTATTAATTAAAAGTTGGTCAAACGTCATTTGTATGAGCGATTAAAACGCGTGCCATGAGAACTTTTTTTCGTTTCTACTTACAATTATTGTGAACAGTGAGATTGTAATATTCATAAAAATCTACAATGCTGTTGGACGTGTTCATGATTATCGCACCATCGTAACCGTTGATAATGGTATAATTACTTCCATCGTAAATGTTTACGTCAATGTTATCGAAGAGGTATCTACAAGTTTTATTTAATTAATTTTAAAGCTGGCTTCAGGTCACGTCCCAATACTTACGAGAGAGCTGTTTGTATTACAGCGTAAGACCATTGTGTGTCTAGAACAATAACAATGTCACTAGAAGCTCTTTGTACTGTATCTCCCTCACTTAAACAGCTGACATCGTTGAATTGGGCTGCAAAGTACCTATTTGATTATCATTGCACATCATGAGAATTTATTGATCATACTAACGGGCATATGTGAGAAAATCGGACGTTGCTGATTTACTAAAGGCTTGCACCCCTTCTGGTGAAAGAGTGCCGGGTAAGGTGGCGTAGTCATCCAACTCAAAACTAAAACCAACTGCTTGAGTAACCAAATCGTTTTCGGGAGCTACTGTAGTAAGAAGAGTATTCCTGTTACACGCTCTTATGTTGTTATCTAATACGCCCCTTGGCGAGTAGTACATATCAAGAAGTTGGGACAATTTTAAAGAAGGGTACGAAGAATACCACGACTGCACGTTGGTACCCAATATCAGACCATCCAACCCTGCTCTTATTTCTGCATCTGTCATTTCCAAATTAGTCGTTTTTTCAACGAAGTACCAACGTGGAATGACGGTGCTGTTCCAACCACCCTTAGCGCCAACCACAACATTACCAGTTGTTACTCCTTGCAGAAGAGCTACTTCCGAAAGGTCTCCTACAGAACGTAACTTAATTTTACTTATCACCTAATATAAATAAACTATTAACTGGCAGTTATTTTATGTAAATAGTATGATCTTATTTTAATTTTCTTTTTCCCTTTCCGCTATCTTTAAACATTTGATTTGCCTTATACATTTAACTTTGTTTTGAAAACCAGCCCAAAGAGAGAGAAAAAAAATAAAATATTTACATTAATTTCNCTGTCTTCATTTCGTCCGTCTCAACTTTCTCACCCGAACCACCACCCACCCATTCCCACGATTCCTGAAAGCAGGCTGAAGAAGACCTTCCGCCCTACCTTCCGGCATAGCCCGGAGGGACTGCCCGCCCACCAGCATTACTGGCTGGTGGGAATGAAACACCCAAAAGTTTTTTTTATAGTTTTAGGGAAATGCGCAGATTAACTTAGGGTAGGAAGGAGTGGAGGTGTGTGTCCAACGATTCTTAGGATTGACAACCTTACAATGATGATGATGATTTACCAATATTTCTTTACACGCCCTTATCACTACTTTCACCAATTCTAATGAATCAATTCCCAAACATAACAGTAATTTTTAAAATCAGTCTATCTTAAAGTAGCAGCTGAAGCAATAAAATTTCGAAGAGATTTGCTATGGTACGATCATTAAATAACAGACAGCAAAGGCTTAACGAGCCAGGCCGGAAATATTCCAAAGTAACTCGCAGTAATCGTACAACCGACGCCGCGGTGACGGAAGAAGTATTCCGTTTCTTGCACATTTTTCATTATAAGTTTCAGCATTTGCAAAGATGAGTTCTCCTATAAAGCCTAAAATCATTATTATGGCCCTTTTATGCGAAGAGGTAGAAGAAAAAGGAAACGTAAATCATTAATAAAAACAGGAAAACTGATGGAATTTTGTACCGAAGTTGCTGCGCGTTTTAAAATTAAGTCTTTTTGAAGTTTCCGATTGATTAAAAAAGTCGAATGTAGCAAGTTCGGTGAGGGACCACCGTCTTCAGATTCAATTTTTCGGCTGTGTAGTTTCCTTTCTTGATTGCTATAATTTGGATCACTCAAGTCAAGTACAATTCTGTATACCTGCTTATTAATAATCTTAGTTTTTCGTCATCTATTGCGCTCCAGGTTTATAGATAGAATGCGACCGCTATGTAACGGAGTAGTGAGGGGGAGGGGGCAGGTCGGTCCACGCGATAAGGTTTCATAACGTGAGGGGAGGGGCGAGACAATGATTAATGAATTTCGCATTACAGATGACAAATTGCAGTTTGACGAAAATATTAATTTTTCGGGTTCGATTCCCGGCGGGGAGTGACAACAGCAACAAAAATATTTTCTTCATTAATTTGAGGAAATTTGTGGTAGGTCAAAATCGAAAAGTGATTTCAAGTTGATGTTGCATATTAACATTGACCACTATTACAAATTTCCTCAAATTAATGAGAAAAATATTTTCTCCCCGCCGGGAATCGAACCCGGTCAGAGCATTGGTGCATAAGGCCAAGAGTCCCGGGTTCAATTCCCGGCGGGGAGTGACAACAGCAACAAAAATATTTTCCTCATTAATTTGAGGAAATTTGTAGTAGGTCAAAATCGAAAAGTGATTTCAAGTTGATGTTGCATATTAACATCGATCACTATTAGTAATTTAAAAAACAATGTCTTAAAATGTTTATTACCAGCCAATGTCGCTGCATATCTGTTATCAATGGTGTACCCGTTGGGGGTTTGAATGGTCTGCTGACTCAGGCCAGCAGCTATTCCTGCGAGAACTGTCCCTGCTTGTATTGAACCCCATTTAGTGTAAACGACGCCTCCTTCAACGGGACATGAACTTTCTGCTATATTTGATGACAATGATCGTACTACTGATTCCACGTCTCCATCAGAAGGATTAGTATCGTCATGTCCTTCTTCTGGAAGCGGATCTTCTACTGGTGGATCTTCAGATTTTTCTTCATCAGCGTTTTCAATATTTCCTTTTGATAATTTTGAACTGTAGTAAAATTAAAATAAAATCATAGTAATAAAAGTAATAAACGTTCTAAAAAAATACCTATTCTATGCAGATAATACGAGATACGACAGAAGCTGATGAAAATTTAATTTCAGCAGAAATACAATAACAAAATATAATATAAAACCGTTAATTTCGAAATTCGGGAAAGATTGTTAAAAGTGTCTGTTTGGAGTAAACCACACGGCTATGTACGGGTGCAAAATGTAGATGATGGGCGAGGCGGAGAAGAAACATTTAGAAGCGTTTGATATGTGATGGTGTTATAGGAAGATGATTAAAATATCGTGGATAGACAAGGTTAGAAATTAGGAGGTATTAGAAAGAGTAGGAGAGTATAGGGTGCCATGGAAGTGAATAAGAAAAAGGTGATATAGGAGAAAAGGGGGTAAAGAGGGACAAAGAAAGGTCTAGATTAAATTGTTGTTCGCAAATAGGGACGTGGGATATCCTAGTTTTCAGTAAATGCGAAGATTGATTAGATTGGATGACCCTATGATAATGATAATGTATCTCATGCTATTTTTGAAGACAATAAAGGAAAATTAGTTTTAAAGCAACTTACTGGCGTGGATCAAAAATCTCCACATCTTTCTCGACATTTCTTCTAAACCTTCTTTGATATCTAGATAATCGGCTGCATATCACGCTCTCATCTCCCCTTTGGGTACGGTCGATTGAATTTGAAAGCATAAAATGGAGAGAACACTATTTAAAAAAATATATATTTGCTGTTCAAATTTTATACACTTACGAGTTCAAGGCCGTTTAATGTTTCGTTAGGAAATAACCTTGCACTTCCTGGCACTAACTTTTTTAAAAGTATTTTATTTTTATAGGCTTGCATTAATANATTTTTCTAATAATTTAAACAATTTAGGTGTATATAGGCAACGTAAATTGTCAAGGAAAATATAATATAATGTATAATGTGTTGCATACTAAAAACTATAGTTTAAATGTTTAAAATATTCAGCACGCAATCAATTTATTATACCAAAAAAGAGACTACTATTTCACTATTTAAAGCGACACTAATAGTGATTTCATCCAAAATAATGTACCACAATTTAATTTACTCACAATGCGGTTCTTTTGAGAATTTTGCAAATGTACTCAACTTTTATATAACAGTTTTATGTTATTATTTGTATTAAATCAGAAGTTATCTGACTCCCTACATATTAAAAATCGGCGATTTCTTATAGTTTTTTATCTCGTATTTTTATTTTCGTATTCTTCCATGTGTGTAATTTAAAGTTTGTAAACATACGCTTTCAGTTGCATGTAAATTATGATCCACTTTGATACGATTCATTCTTTTGAAAAATTTAGTAATACTACAAGACTCAAAATCTTTGAAAGTTACATCTGTTTTACTGTGAGTTGCAGTAAAGTGTACGTACTTTGGACAAACGAATAAACGCATTAATCAAAAGCTTTAAGAGCATAAAAAATTTTAATATGCATATACCTATACAGACATCACACTAAAAATTACGTATTTTGAACAAAGGAAATGAATTAATCTTGAACTACACTTAAAATTATGTGTAATTCTTAATATTTAAGTAATACTAACAGATAAACTTCTTTCATCAACAGAAGCTGTATCGTGTGGTAAAAGCTGTAGCTGATAAAATTCATACAATTTTCTTGAAGCTTTTTGCATTCATTATTGATTGTTAATAGGTAATTTCAACAAACAGAGGTTCAGCTGCTTCCAAAAAAATAGTTTAACGATATGCTCGGGGTTTTGTTAACAGAAATAAGTAAAAACTGAAGGACAACCATGACTTCTATTCTTTTTATTTTTCTCTCTTCCTGAAGATTATTTTATGATTGGGAAGGTTGGTTCTGATTGGTTTTAAGTCAGCGCAAACTTCCCAACCACGACCTAAACTTCAACCCAAAAAAAATATTTACTAATAAATATACCTGGCATACCAAGTTTATTAATTAAATTCCTGAAATAACTTTATACAATCGGCTTATAAAATTATTATATATTACACTTATAACACGCAAAATGTTCGCATTTAACTAAATAGTCTTAAATAGATAGGTTAGTTTAAATAAATCAACTGCGTAGTTTACCAAAAGTGTTTAGAAAAACAGATAAAAAGCGACATATTATGTATGCACCTCTATTTCTAACTGTAACAATATAAACTTTTAATATTTTTAAAATAATTAAACTGAACTGAAACGGTTTATTTTGAAATATTTGAACGTAGATAAGTACCGTTTTATGACCGAATAATTTTTACAATTAAGTTTATAATTTTTATTTACTTTACGAAATATATTTTCCTTCAAACCTACTTTCTGTTCATACTTCAGCAATTTAAAATTTTGCCGTTATCGCAATGATGATAATCAACAGCGTGTTGATTTGACCTTATGAATGCATACACTACGAACTACGTAACGCTTATCATCACGTTTAAATTAAGGTGGGTAAAACATTTTTAAAAAGGAATATGACTAATGTATCATTTGTTTTACGATTAGAGAGCAAAACATGCGCAACAGACAAAATAATGATCTTGTACACTACCTGTGTATAAACTCCGTGGCATATTCCCTCATGTCCTGTGCCGAAGGTCCATTTTCAACTTTCCTAATTAGGTCAATCAAGACGTTTATTGTAGCCGGAGGCCTACTTTCTCTGTTTAAATATCTTGAAGTGTTATAACATTCTATCAGTGCTGGAGCAACTGAATTGCCGGCGTTTTCTTGTCCCAACACGTTGCAAACAAATAACAAACTCACGAAGGATAACAAACAATGTATCTTTGGAATCATCATACTGTCAAATTATTAACGAATTAATAACCAACTTTTACTCTTTACACTCTAGAAAACATTAATAAAAACCTTGTTTAAATATAATGCATTTATAATGGTGGTGAAATTTATTATCGATCTAGATTAGATACGAAGAAAGCTTCGATGAAATGAAAAAATAAACGACTTTTGTATCTTTCGTTACAGTTAATCTGAAAATTCGTAAATGCTATCTACAGTAAACTGGCGTCTCCATGGCAATCTTGATAAGATACAGTCTAATACTCGTTTGTTTTTATTCTGGAGTAAATTTTTAGCGTTTGAATCACTCTCATACATTCATTTAGAGCTTTCGGGGATTATCAAAACTACACGCAACCTAATTTACACACATATACAATAAAATATTTGCAATAGGTAGATGCATATCGCATGTTAATATATTACTCAGTTAATTAATTTAACAAACTTAAAATAATGTAATTCAGTCAGAATAAGAGATAATCATGCATTTTTTATGATGATCTAAATACCTATTTACGTAGGACGAAACTGTAATTGAAATTGAAACAAAACAAAAGTAGGTCATTTTCGGTACATAAACGAGAAAGTAATTTAAACGAAAATTGTTAAATTACTTTTATCCCTCGGTATCTTATCTGGAAGTATTGAACAATTACGCAAACAGAATAAATAGAATAATAACAATTTAAAGNATCTGGTCTTACACGGATTTCCCAGGATGCTTAATAAAATTAATAATATTATAATACAAACATCAAGGTCATAACAGTGTTGTTTATAATAACAGAAAACGAAATGAAGAAACGAACTATCAGTAACACTTACCTATTCCAGTTAACAATGAAAAAACGAACAGGAACTCTAGCACCATTTTGTATGAATCTGAACGCAACGTTTACTTTTTAGTTTTTACTGTGCATTATTTTAAAATTAGGGTAAATATATAGCCTTTTTTGAATGAGATAATAACACCGTCCAAAAGAATTTTGATAAACCACAATCAAATGAGTTTTAAATCACTTTTTAAAGTCAGTAACTGCAGGTAAAGGAAACGTATAGATATATATTTGTACAAAGAAGCATAACATTCCTTGTTTTATCAACAAGCAGAAAAGTGCATTCACAGGTATATTTTAACTTATTGCTATTATAAATGCACTTTACGATGTTATAAATTCATCTGACAGTTTCTTTAGATAAGAATAGCCAATAGGACATGATTTTACTTTAAAGATTGAGTTAGTGTAAACAAATAAATTTTCTGAATGTTGCAAAAACTTTTTTCCAATTTATTCAATTTAATGTATGTTATTAGCATTTTTCGCCAAATAGGAGGAAACTTGATAAAATAATTTATTAAAGATTTATATAAAGAGTTTATTGTTTCTTTTATGATGGAATTCCATGCATTCGTGCAGTAATATGCGTTTCCTGGTGTAACTATGCATATTATACGATCAAAATTTCACAAGGAAGAATGCTACCGCTTCCGTTCTCTTAGAAGGACCACATAGAAGTATTTTAAAATTTTATGCATACATTACAAACGTACTGCAAGCAGGCTACTTTTATATTTTCGGAAACCCCCCAATGTTCTATCATTAAGGGAGTGTACGAGGGGAAATTTTTAGGTTCGCGGAATGGGGGGTAAGAAGTGGAAATAAAAGTACGAATTTATTTTTCCTTTTCTTCACTTGAAAATTTCTTCCTACGAAGACTTTTTTAAGTTTGGGAATAGTTAATAATCGCTGGGAGCTAGGTCAGAATTGTAGGGTGGTTCTTGTAAACTGACGCGTTCTTTTCAATATATAAAAAACTTTTGAGTGTTTCATTCCCACCAGCCAGTAATGCTGGTTGGCGGGCAGTCCCTCCGGACTATGCCGGAAGGTAGGGCGGAAGGCCCTCTTCAGCCTGCTTTCAGGAATCGTAGGAATGGGTGGGTGGTGGTTCGGGTGAGAAAGATGAGACGGACGAAATGAAGACAGAAGAGAGTGAAAGATTATCTGTGGAAAATTACTGCCTCAGCATTTGCCTAAGTGATCCAAGGAAACCACAGAAAAACTTGGACCAAGACAGACGGACCCGGAATCGAACCCGCGTCCTCCCGAATGCTAAGCAATGGTCTAGACCTCTAGGCCATGCCGCTAGGTTTTCAATATATTCATCGGCTACCCTTATACATTTTCCCGATCTTTCAATTAACTCACGTATACCTTCAAAAAAAAAAAAGTTTTGTATTTGTCTGAAAAATACGCCGAAACAGCATCCTTCACTTCTTCGTCACTTGAAAATTTCTTCCCACGAAGTTTGGGAATAGGAAATAATCGCTGCGAGCTAGGTCAGGACTGTATGGTGGGAGAGCCAATATTTCGAAGCCCACCTTCTCCAGGGCAACCATCGCAACACGACTCTTGTGACCAGGCGCGTTGTTGTGCAGAAACGGGACAACTTTGGTCAATTTTCCTTTTCTTTTTTCTTTGACTGCTTCATTTAACCGCTCTAGGATTGAAGCATAGTATTCTACGGTTATGGAGACATCTTTATCTTTATTATCGATCAACAGGATCCTTTCTGAGTCCTAAAAGACTGTCGCCATGATTTTCCCAGCCGACTGTGAAACTTTAAACTTCTTGGGTGGAACAACAGGCAGTTATCGAGCTTGAGTAACAAGGATACACACTGTCACCGTTACGTTTTAATGTATATGTTAGGCCCGAAGACCGAAAACGCTCAGTGGCCGAAAAAAAACGGCCACAACGCGTTCTGGCTGCCTTCAAACGCACAGAACGCGTTCTGGCTGTTTTTAAACTCTCGCAACGCGTTCTGGTAACTGTTAAACAGCCGGAACGCGTTTTATCAATTGTTGTCGGGTATACAGTTAAAATTTGAGTGTGTGAATATGAAAGTGAGGTACCAGCGGACAAAATCTCCTTACGATCAGCATCAACTCAATCATCAGGAAGCAAACAAGGTTTTGTTTTTTGTCAGTGCAAACGAATGTGCATTGATAAAAAATGCAAGTGTCGCGATTTAAATGTACTATGTAATTCGAAATGTCATTCAGACAGTTCTTGTAAAAATAAGTAATATACCTATGTAAAGTACTTGAAAGTTCGAAAAAACCCCTCGTTTGTATTTAATTGTGGTTGTCAAAAATTAAATCGTTTCTAATAAAGTAAAAAAGGCATGAATTTAAGTTTGCGTTGTACTCCACACTAAGTTAAATGTGTCGAAATTCATTTGTTTAATGAATACCTTTTCGCTTTTTCATTCATTCATTCGTATATCATATGCTCGACAATATAAGTGTTCAGTGTAACTTTCTTCCTAGAACTGAAAAACAATTATAAGAAATTTAATATTGTTGAAATGANCTAACTTGACTTCATGAAAAATCAGTACAGTTCTCGTCAGTGTAGCGAGAAGATCAGTCTGTCTTTGGTATCCAATTATGGTTGTCAATAATTGAATTGTTTCCTAAAAACTGACAAATGGATTGAAATTGATTTGTTTTATAACTACAATATAAATCTCATTGTACGCAGGTAGAAAGCGGCAAATAATACAAGTCGAACATTAAGAACGCGTTGTGAGCGTTTTTTTTTTAATTTTTTAATTAAAAATTTGAAAAAAAAAAACAAATTTTAACTGTATACCCGACAACAATTGACAAAACGCGTTCCGGCTGTTTAACAGTTACCAGAACGCGTTGTGAGCGTTTAAAAACAGCCAGAACGCGTTCTGTGCGTTTGAAGGCAGCCAGAACGCGTTGTGGCCGTTTTTTCCGGCCACTGAGCGTTTTCGGTCTTCGGGCCTAACATATACATCGAAGACGCGATCAACATCATTAAAGACATTTTTAGTGTTTGTGTTTTTAGATTTTACCGCTAAAGAAACATTTCCACTGTGTGAAAAAAGAGATCTACAAAAATGTCCTCGAAGTAATTGTTTTTTGTTCCCATATCTGGATAACACATGGTTGAAATATAGTCCAAACTAATTTTTTTACTTTGTACAATTTTCTTCGGTAAAAGGTCAATTTATGCATTCAAGGAAGAGTAAATTTTCAAGTTCATAACTATCGATATTATTTTCTTTAATACTCGTGACAAGCTGACATATATGACAGAAAATTTCAGTATTTAAGCCAATTATTGTGTCGGTAAACGCTAGGATTCGGCCTTCGGCTTTAGCAAAAGCTGTTTGGTCACGAAACAAATAACTGCAGTTTTTACAAATAAATACAACAATGGTTTCTTGATAAATGGTACAAAACATTAACAACTGCTTAAAAAACAAGAAATTGGTATATTTAATGTCACCGCTAGCTAAAAATTAGAAATTGGACAATAAATGACTTGGAACTTAACTGTTTTTGAAGCGCTTGTGGGTGGTGAAGTAACTGTCCCCCCTGTCCCCATTGGCGACGCTCGTGTGACAATTAACCCAACGGAAACTGCAACGTGTTTATAATTAGCAAAAATAGGTACATATGTCATAGTTTCCTACTGATACATGAGGAGGGGAAACGAAAGAAATAGCTCAAGTGTGACAGAGCTATCAATATGCAGTCAGCTCAATCCGTAAACATCACCGCAGACAACAGATTTTTCATCGATCGGCTATTTCATCGATTACCTAATCAATATGACAATACATGAATGCGCACATACGACAATTCAAAATCGATCCATAAAGACGACAATATGCAAAAAGTAACTACATATAACATATATGCCCGCATTAAATTATCGGTTTGTTAAAACAATGGAATTACTATACCTGCGGCTTCGCTCGTGATAAAAATCACCGAGGACCACATAAAACTAATTTTATCTATACCTCGGGAACAGCATTTATTCTGGACAAAAGGATACTTATATCCTTCTCCAAAGCACTCATAATGTGTGTACAAAATTTCATGATGAAAGGTTGGGTAGTTAAGGATTAATAAAAATTAATAGAATGACGATAGATACAATTAGGGCTAGAACTCCTCCTTAGGGATTGATCGTAAAATTGCATATGCAAATAAAAAATACCGTTCTGGTTGAATATGGACTGGGGTTATTAAAGGGTTAACTGGGGTAAAATTATCCGAGTCTCCTAGTAAATAAGAAGTAGATAGGGTAATTATTGTTAGGGATAAAACAGTTAAAATAAATCCTACTAAATCTTTAAGTGAGTAATAAGGATGGAATGGTAATTTATCGATATTTCTGTTTTACAAAACTTAAACAAGCTCAGATCATAGCATTAAACATTCATTTAGAGCTTTCGGGGATTATCAAAACTACACGCAACCTAATTTACACACATATACAATAAAATATTTGCAATAGGTAGATGCATATCGCATGTTAATATATTACTCAGTTAATTAATTTAACAAACTTAAAATAATGTAATTCAGTCAGAATAAGAGATAATCATGCATTTTTTATGATGATCTAAATACCTATTTACGTAGGACGAAACTGTAATTGAAATTGAAACAAAACAAAAGTAGGTCATTTTCGGTACATAAACGAGAAAGTAATTTAAACGAAAATTGTTAAATTACTTTTATCCCTCGGTATCTTATCTGGAAGTATTGAACAATTACGCAAACAGAATAAATAGAATAATAACAATTTAAAGCTTCAGGCAAGTGATGACTGCGTATTTAGCGATTATAAAAAAGTTCGAACAGTAATCTTTTAATTAATTTTGTTTGTTACAAGTCGCTTGTCAAGCAAAAAAACCAGTCTTAAGTTACAGACGCGCACAATTTTTCTGACAGAGTATAAGAAACTTGTTCGTTACCAGGAAAATGTTAAGCGATGTGTAAAAAGTTCGATTTAAAGGAATAAACATACCTGTAAAAATGAGTTAATTTTGAACTAATCACTAACTATAGTACGAGACTTACAACGTATGAGTCAAACAACAGCTAGCTCTGCTAACAGCAGGTAGCATAAAACACACCTTAGCTAGATAAGATAACAACCTAAATAAATAATTGATAGTTGATTGCATTATAAAACAACCACAAATGATCAAGAGGTTTAATGTTATTTAGAATTAGATACAAGATACATACAACTAACTATCCAATTCTTAAAAAAAAACACACTTTAAACACTGCATCATTCTAACATAGTCTATTGATTATAGTCTTCTTATTCCAGGTACGGCAGATTAAAGTAAGAAAAGTAGATAGGTTCTCGGGTGGTTTCCACAATTTTTTTGCTAGTTCTTTTAGGCTTTACTACGTCGTTATCCTGTGAGACTTCGTTAAGATCTTCTAAACTGACTGGAATTTTGCCCCTAAGCACCCCGTCAGATTTAACCCGATAAGGGTGCACATAACGCCCATATTTAATTTCGTTGTACCGAAATGCTTTTGCTAAATCAGGATTGATATCTTCGAGCGGGGTATCTCCGGGACGTATGTAAACGGGAATGACTCCTGGTGCTGGATCAACAACTTGTTGAGTTGATTCCTTCCTTGCTGGTGCAGCTACTAGAAATATTTAGAAAGAAATTGTTGTCAGATTTCATGTCGATGTCGACTGTTACCGTACCACATCCGAAAATATAAATAATTATCAAAGTAAGTATTCCTAACATCTCGGAAGAGAAATTCACAAGAACATGTAGCACTTCACTAGCATCTAAACCGACTGGCCAATGACTTGGTGATTACCTTTTTATATGATGGACTTACCGTAGTTCTCTTGACTAATGTGATTACCAGTTTGTACTTGTACGAATAATCCTTTCGTTTTTAAAAAGACCTTTACAAAGTTCGTGTTATCACAGCACGTAGGTGAGAGGATATGTAGGTAGGAGTAAGTTGAAAAAAAAAAACCATTTATATGCAAAATATTGTAGTTTTTCATTTGCAAAAATGAAATTTATCGACTCATTTTCTTGTTCAATTACGTGAAGATATTACGTAAACAATTGATAAATTAATTATTCGATTATTCGCATGTTTTGCATATTTTTTCTTGATTTTATCAGTTAATTGCATTAGTTCTTGTAACAAAGCAAAACTAATTTATTTTTCTTGCACTATTTACGAATATGTTAAAAAAAGTAATAATTATAGATAACAAAATGTTGATACATTAATAAATTGACTGTAAAATAACATATTTCTTAAATATAGGTACTCGTTATTTAATTAGTTGAAAATTATATAAAATTCCTTCAATCTTCAAAAAAGTATTATTATTTTGCAAAATTATGAGCAAGTATATGTACCTTTACTAATTATTTAAATAAATTAATACAGACGATCTTGTATTAAAATAAGGACCAAGTTCTGTTTGAAAAATTTTACGATTAAACATTCAATCTAGCCCCAACGAGCATATTGCGAACTTTTTGCGTCATTTGACTCGAAAAAAAAAAACATTTCAATATCGCCTCGTTTATTTGCATAGTCCCATATTTTGGCATTCTGAACAACTTTTTCCTATATTTTTTTTTCGATTAGACCCATATTTCAACAGCTGCCATTTAAACGAAACATTTTTTTTTATTTTGGAACACTCTGTATAGTAAACTAAATGTGGATAACACAGACCTTGTATTAAAATAAGGACCAAGTTTTTTTGTTTGAGAAAGAGGTTTGACCAATATCTTCAGGTATAGTTCTCAAATAAACTTTTCTGCTTAAATTTTTATGTAGATAGCATCTTTTGACTAAATACCTATTTGAATTTTACTTAGAAGGTATGCTTATACAAAGCTCATGGTTTTCCGGTATCCATTAGAGATAATACCGTATAAAATGGTTCTTAGAACAGTCGTTCTAAAAACATACTTAATGTTTCTATTTATTGTTATCTAAAATACGTTGAACGAAAATTAAGAATGCAAAATTTGGTTTTAATATGTTACAAACATAGTTTCTCTTTAATGAGAATCATACTTTAGCTAAAACTTTTTTTATATGTTCAAATGTTTAATAAGGAATGAGGAAAATCACCCCTCATTACTCCTATTTCTGTTTTTATGTCTTTAGCCAATTCTTAATGTCTTAGAAGGTGTCCTACCATCCTATCTCTCTTTTTTTTATATATTTCGATAGTGCCTTTTGTTTCCTACTTTTTCTAATACCTCCTTATTTTTTCTGTCCTAATACCTCATTTCAAACGCTTCCAAATTTTTTTTCGCTACCCTTACTGTCCACGTATCGCACCCTTACAAATTCGTGTTCGACACATACACTTTCAACAGTCTTTTTCGAATTTTTAAATTAATCTATCGCAAACACAGAAGTGATTTCTTTATGGTGTACTTGATCATGGTCTATCTGTTGTTTGATGTGCCTTCCATTTTTCCAATTCTGACTCATCTGGCTTCGTATGTATATACATATATCGAAAAATGACGATATTTCTTCTAGTTTTTGTCCGTCTTCGGTAATATTAACCGCATCTTCGATGCACAAATTAAAAAGTATCTCCAGATGTGTGAATTATTTTGAACTTTTCGACTTAGGGAGAGCGGTATTTTTAACATATTTTTTGTCATGAATCAAACAACTTCGTTTATGTACTTTTGCTTATAACACATCGCATCTTTCTTAACAAAGACCAAGTGGAAATGTAACTAATGTAATGTAACTATTCTTCTTTTTTAAAATACTCTGAGAAACGTTGATTTTTTTCTAATTGGTAATCAATTATTGTTTTAGATCATCAACAACTAAATTATTTTATTTTTAATTAATGATTACTTAATAATTACGCATTGTCTTGAAAAATTATATATACAAACACTTAATTTTAAAAACTTCCCATTATAAAAATGAGAGACATTATGAGGTGTTTTCGTAAAGAAAGAGTAAATATAAAGATAGGAGACGAATAATTAGCAGAATCAGGTGTTAAGAGGAGTAGAGGTAAACCCCCACATATTAGATTACTGTTCACAAATATTTAAGGATGTAGGATGTTTTAGTTTTAGGGAAATGCAAAGAGTAACTCAGGACAGGAAACTGTGTCCAACCAGTCATAAGACTGACAACTTTATGATAATGAAGATGATGATACATATGAGTACATTAAAAAAATTGAATAGATTATTTTCGAAACACATTTTATATTACATGAAAGTTAAATATATTTGAAGAAACACTTTTTCGCAAAAACTAATTTGATTTTTAGTAATTTTCACTAATAAAGGGAATTGTTAAATGTGTTACGTAAGATTTTTATGCAACATCGATTAAAATAAATCATGAATTAATAATAGCTAATTATTTTGTTCTTATTGTCAATCGAACCAAATTAATAGGTATCCAATATAATTTAACAAAAATGCTGACAACTTTATATTTTAGAGAAAGTTAAAAAATGCCCTTTGGAAATTTACTTCAGTTTCTTATATTTTTTCATATAAATTCGTGCATGAATTTGTGCAATACGTATAATCTGTGTAGGTACATGTTTGAAGTAAAATTGAGGGATGTTTGTTGACATTTAGTATTATTAAATCGAAAAACGTTTTAGTACCTATAAGGAAGATAACAATTACATGCCTACACTATGGAGGCCTCGAAATTGCCAGATGATCTTACTGCTCTTAAAGAATAAGTGAAAATGTTATGTTGTCTATCACACTAAAAGAGGTCAAATTATTCAATTATGTACATCAGGTCACAAACGTAATAACAAAACGTTTATCGTGGCTTTCAATCCCAGGAGGGGGCACTTGAACTTGAAATATTGAAAAGTAAAAAACTGGAAAGGATTAAACATTAGCAATATGCATATATCTAACTTATAGTCATAGTTCGTTACCAATATTTTTTATAATAATCCTTGAGGATGGCTGCTACAGTTGCAGCAAAAGGTTGGAAAAATTCCCTCACACAACCGCCTAGGAAGAACAATTCCGAGTCCGTAGCAATCAACTCAGGAAAATAATTTATTAAAGATTTATATAAAGAGTTTATTGTTTCTTTTATGATGGAATTCCATGCATTCGTGCAGTAATATGCGTTTCCTGGTGTAACTATGCATATTATACGATCAAAATTTCACAAGGAAGAATGCTACCGCTTCCGTTCTCTTAGAAGGACCACATAGAAGTATTTTAAAATTTTATGCATACATTACAAACGTACTGCAAGCAGGCTACTTTTATATTTTCGGAAACCCCCCAATGTTCTATCATTAAGGGAGTGTACGAGGGGAAATTTTTAGGTTCGCGGAATGGGGGGTAAGAAGTGGAAATAAAAGTACGAATTTATTTTTCCTTTTCTTCACTTGAAAATTTCTTCCTACGAAGACTTTTTTAAGTTTGGGAATAGTTAATAATCGCTGGGAGCTAGGTCAGAATTGTAGGGTGGTTCTTGTAAACTGACGCGTTCTTTTCAATATATAAAAAACTTTTGAGTGTTTCATTCCCACCAGCCAGTAATGCTGGTTGGCGGGCAGTCCCTCCGGACTATGCCGGAAGGTAGGGCGGAAGGCCCTCTTCAGCCTGCTTTCAGGAATCGTAGGAATGGGTGGGTGGTGGTTCGGGTGAGAAAGATGAGACGGACGAAATGAAGACAGAAGAGAGTGAAAGATTATCTGTGGAATATTNTTAGTCATTTGCTACGTTTTATATTTGAACTATATTATAAATGAAAAAAATCAGTTGTCAAAAAAAAAAATTCATTAACTTTTTTGATATGATAATCACGCGCAACCCCACTTGCTATCCAAAAACTTAATGATCTTGTGATTTTATTTTATTTTTTCTGGACAAAATTGAACCAAGAAAAACTTTAACAAAAGATTATGTTAATTAACATACCAAAAGTAACAAAAGCTTTCCAAGTTTCAATACACAAGAAGCAGCAGCAAGGTAAAAAGTTTTAAGGCCCATATGCTCCATGAGTAAGCATCTTATAAACAAGTTTTAATACAAGAAAATTACGAATGTCCCCACCACAGTTATTTTTCTACAATCGGTTTATTTTTAATAATTTTAAGTCAGCTTTTAATGTTAACTTTTGATAGAACCATCAAATTTTTTAAACCATTAAAACCAATTTTGATTATATAATTCAAATTACTAAATATGGAGAGAATTATAATGTGATTTTGGTTACAATGATGCACCAGTGCATTTTTTTTGTATCTGTGAGATTTTAACGATTCGTTCGATCCTCTGTCTTAATTAAACCTTCTGTTTTAACCCGGAAATCAATTTTTTATATTATTTCTAAAAGTACAGTATTTATATAAATTTTCTAAACATATGCCCACTTTATTTATGCCCATTGTTAAATCAGTTTCTAATATAATAACATGTTCCTTAATAGGATATATTGGAAGCATTTTTACGATTGAAATTTGTTAAGCTTCAATTCATCAAGAAGTGTGACTATCCTTCAAAATACTTTAGCTACTTATTAATTCATTAGTTAGTCGTGGTTACGGCAGAAAGAGAGTTCCATCCAGGTACAAGCCCAAGGCTTGAGCATCATTTGTTCAACCTCCGGGTTAGATCATTAAAAGAAGTCAAGGTGTCCAGTCATTCGATGATTCAACGAGGGTTCAAACACTTTTTTTACTAAAAACGTAGAAGAGCACTACGTTCATTTTCTGTTCATAGAAATTAAGTAATTACTGAGAACATTATTATGTAATCTTGAAACTATTTTCACCGTTGTCGTAAATAAAACAAAAAGGTTCAAATGACGACTTCCTCCTGACAGGTTTTAATGGGATTATAAAAGCTTCAATATCCTACACAAAAAATATATATTTTGCAT